AAACGTCTATTCTTTACCATACGGTGACGAATTCGTTCACAAAATGAAGGAAAATAACTAAAGTTATGCGGCTCCTTAAATCTCTCAACTGATTTAACAATTAAGTAATGTGAGCAGCTTACTGATCATACTTCCGTACCCGATGTAGATAAAAAGTGTTCTATGCAAGGTTTACTCCTAATCTACAGAAGGGCACCCTCTAGGCTAAGAGAGTCCTTGGCACATCCACTGGTTTTCTGACATTATCGAATTTTGGGTGGGGATTGCACCGGGTTGGTCCCTGAACACCCCAATTACATATTCAGTTCAGTTGCCTTGTTAGTGTTAGTATAGTCAGGCACAAAGTAACGCCCAAATTAACATGAGCTTGAATATCGCGCCATGTCGGGCGATGGGGTCAATAATAACTCTGCCATTTCGAATCCGATTCCCAATTCATACTAAGCTAAATATGAGTACAGAAGTGTCTTGCTTGTACATATTGGTTTTGCGATTGGCATGCAAAATATTGATTCAGTCCCTCTTGTAAAAAGAAAACTAAAACGTTTTGTATGCTCAAGGACAAGCGGAGTTGTTGACCCCATAGAACATTTCACCCGACCTCTCGAAAAACAAAAATACCGGAAGTCGGGCAGTATATGGAACGCTCCTAGCCCTTAAACACGTTACATTGAAGCGGCTTGTGCCGTAAGAATATATTTTTGACTAATTAGAGGGCTACTTTCGGACAGTCCGGGATCGGACTCGGATTGCTGACGGACTGTCCTGGGACATATTTGGAAGTGCCCGAGACGATCGGCTGGTTTTGGAACAGTCCTGGACGACTTTCGGAATGATTTCGTTTTATAAGGGAAATTTAGTTCGGAGAAGAGTAGATTGTCAGTTACATGGACGACAAACCTCTATTTTGAGTGACACTTTATCTTGACTTCCGGTATTTTTGTTCTTCGAGAGGTCGAAAAGCGCTTGGGCGAAATGGTCTATTGCCCCGTTATAGAGCGAAATTGACATGTCAATATGTATGCTAATAATGCTGCTATACCAACGTCAACAAAGCGTACACAACAGTACTGATCATGCACTGGGAGTGTCCAGCGACCAATTCGGCGAAATCCCCAGACAAAATCTTTCCGCAGATACCAAATAAATAGGCAACAACTGAGACCAGTCAAAAATCGTCCTCCGCCATCTTAGATTCTTCTGGCACATATGACTTACAGCCTGGGTTTGTAACGCAGAAAGGATTTAAAGCTGCCATATTACGAACGATTTTCCTTCAAATTGCAAACAGCCCCCATTCGTAATAGGGTATTCCAATGGAGCGCGGAGCGGTAGTAAGAAGACCAACAAGCTAGGCCCGCTCTTCCGCTAAACCAAGTTGCCAGCTCCGCTTCGCTCCACCGGCAACTCGGTTCGGCGGGGAGCGGGCCTAGCTTGGCCTGCCGGCGGCGTTTGGGACGGGCATTGCCCGCCCTTCTGCTTTGAAAAAGCTATCCAGCGGGCTTATGCAAACGACCTTGTGTCTGTGTGTCTGTCTGTCTGTCTGTCTGTTCCACTGGAAGGAGATGTGCTAGAGACTTGAAATTTTCAGGGTATCTTAAGGTTCACTCCTAGCGAATGAAACGCCTACGGCAAATCCTGGCAACCACCCCCCCAGTGATGTAACGGGCCTTCGGCCCGCTAAAACCCGTCGTCTTTAAAATTTGCCGCGTAGACACGAGAAAGGGATGTAACGGTGAAGCAGAAATCTCAGTTGAAAGGGTTCTACTTTGCTGAGCTACCCCTTAGAAGAACATTAAAAAAACAATCTTTGTCTAAGCAGAAGGGTGGGTTGTAGTCACGCGGTGCTTCACCGTTACATTCCTTTCTCATGTCTAAGGGGCAAATTCTAAAGACGACGGGTTTATTTGTGATCCTTGGATACCCCCATTCGCACCCTCAGTGGTGGTTGCGAGGATTTGCCGTAGGCGTCTCGTTTTCTAGGAGTGAACCTTAAGATGCCCTGAAAATTTCAAGTCTCTAGCACATCTCCTTCTAGTGGAACAGACAGACACACACGAGGTCGTTTGCATAAGCCCGCTGGAAAGCTTTTTCAAAGCAGAATGGCGGGATAAACACCGTTGACATAAGCAAATAAGACGATTTGTTTTGTACACACAGCCACAGACTACGCAAGACGCTTATGTTACACACTGCCCCAAGGTTCACAGCCTGTTTTGTGGCTTCGTAGGCCGAGAACCCTCGAGGATATGTTAGTGACACCGACCACCTTCCAAGTGCTAAGTTGTATACTTCGTTAGTAAATCATTAGTAGGGAGGTAGTTTGTAACCCAACGAGCTCAACCCCAAGAGTTTATATCCTTATACGATGAAAATTGCGTAAAAACCGGGTTAGCCTGATTTGGCCGTCCTCTCACCGCCGTCAGACCTCCCCAACCACGTAGTTATTGATTGCACATGAACTTATTAGTCATTCAGAAGACATTATGTAAACATTCCTATTTGGTTCTGGACGTGCCATATTCGAAATACAGAGGTCTGTTACACACTGCCCCTGTTACACACTGCCCCACCCTCCCTTACTTCCTCTCACATTTTACGATTGGACACCTCCATGTACGTCTTTATGTGCAACGTGGTCATTTTCACCGTATTATCGTCGAAAAAAACACTCTGGCGGCCCAAATGGTGCAAGATTGATTCAAACGGACAAAATTTTCGCCTATAGTTTTCTACTGTCACGAGTTACCCCTTAGAAGACCATAAAAAAAATATTTTTTTTCCTAATTTTTGGACCAACCCCTATTTCTTTGTTACCCCGTTGTCCAGGAGTGACCCCTAAGACACCCAGAAATTTGCAGACCTCTGGCTCACCTCCTTCCTCTTACACGGACGACAGACAGACAGACGGACAGACAGACAGACGGACGGACAGACAGACGGACAGACAGACGGACACGAGAGCATTTGCATAAGCCCACTTTGATGCTTTTTTAAAAGCAGAAGGGCGGGCTAAAAACCGGCCTTAGTCTGAAACGCCACGTTCTCCCACGGGTCTTACACTATGATATGCAGCTCGGACGGTGTCCTTAACCCCCACATGGTTCTTATCTCCGTAGCCGTTCTCAGTGATGATGATCGGAACGTGGTAGGTGCGCCAAATCCAGAGGAGGGCATCTTGCATAAGAGACTCTTCAGTCTAAAATAACAATTAAAACAAGTTATAATTCAGAATTATTTGAGCTCATGCCTTGTCAAAATTTTATTGTAAGTTGTCCAATTGCTAGGCAATTAAATGAATACAACGGCAATTCAGGCAAATTCAGAGGAAATTCAAATCCGATTCATGATATTTGTACACTGAATTAATAGGCTGTTAATCTCTTGACAGTGAGTGTAAGCTGCAAGATAGTTGCCGTACCACATCAAAGTTGCCAACACCGGTAACCTCGATGAAGGGCATATCTTTCATCACAGGGCCCAGAAGTATTGATTGTTCTGCTCCAGATGTTTTATTGTGGTTGTAGCTAGCTGTGCACCTACTGTACACGTTCAAGGCTATGAAGTCAGTCACCCCGCCTGCAAACAAAAGATTCGTGTATGTTTACCGGACGAACACGAGCTGATGATCACGATCACACTAATTAAATTATCGCTGCAAGAGATAGCTACAGTGCGGTCGGGGGTCAAGGCCTGCAGATCTAGGCAGACAACCTCGACCACCTGTCGATATGTCCAGCGATGCATTGATTGGACCGTTCCCAAAAGAGAGCAGTTAAAAGAAGTTCTCGGTAGCTTTGTTATTATCTTTCAAAACGATAAGCAATCATTTATTCAAAGTTAGAGGTGTGCGAATCACCCTTTTTCAGAGTTGAATCGAATCTGGATTTTTTTTCCTCGAATCGAATCTTAAAATTTCACCCCGAATCGAATCGAATCTTACTATTTCGAATGCGAGTAAAATCGAATCATTTCCCAACATGTTAGAAGGTGCTATAAACCATGAAAATGGGGCAGCCAATAGGGCATTTCAATGGAGCGCTACCCGGAACTAAGAAGAACAAAAACGGATACAGAGAGCAGTGGTGGGGGCGGGCGCGCGGAGGAGCGGCGGGTGGAGGGGAGCCTCCCCGCCCGCCCTCCGCTCCTCCGCGCGCCCACCCCCACCACCGCTCTCTGTATCCGTTTTTGTTCTCCTTAGTTCCGGGCAGCGCTTAATAGGGTATTCCAATGGAGCGCCGTCCGGAACGAAGAACAACAAAACGGATACAGAGAGCGGTGGTGGGGGCGGGGGCGCGGAGAAGCGGCAAGTTGTAGAGGAGACTCCCCGCCCACCCCCACCACCGCTCTCTAGATCCGTTTTTGTTCTCCTTAGTTCCGGGCAGCGCTCCATTGAATTTTATTATATGAGGGTATTAATACCCTATATGAGTTGGTGCTCAGACTTTCTTTAAAAACAAAGAGATTGGCAAACCATCCTCTTATCCAATGAAAAACCTTCCCTTTAGTGTAGGTTACCCAGCGTGCACTCCATGTGCACATGTCGTTTCGTTTTCGAACTTCAAAATTTTGATGCGTCCGTATTGTTCGAGTTCGAAGTGCCTGCTTGTTTCGAGATCGATACGAATCGAATCGAGACAGTTTCGATTCGATTCGAATTCGAACTGTTCGCACACCTCTATTCAAAGTACAGTGTACCATAAACGTGGCGACTAACCTGCAAGTAACTTTTTCTCTTCGGGGGTGAACGCTGGAAGGCGCGATTCGCTGAGGCCACTCTCGGCGTCCGCCTTGTCCACAAGGTAGCGCAGCACAGGGGGGTAGTCCCCAAAAATCACCGGGTGGATCAGAGTGCCGACATACACTTGATTAAATATTTCGGATGCCATCACATCCTCAGACTGCGTAGTCTTTGGTGATGCTGGCCAGACCACCACAGACAAACCGACTTTTCCTGAAGATTTAGAACGTAAAATTAACAGAAAAATAATTACATCAGAGAAGAGTGTGGCTTGTTGAGCTTTTCAAAAACACTGCAAGGTAAAAACAATACCTCATTTTTTTTTTGGAGGGAAAAGGGAAAACTTTCAGGAACTCTCCTGGCTTGATGAAAACCCCTCAGATTTCGAGGAAGTCTCCTCAAAAATGTGGGATTTTCCCTCATTTTTCGAGAAGATTCCTCAAAATCTGATGCGAGATCGGGGGACTCTTCTTCATACATGTGAGTTCCTCAAAGCTTTCCCTTTCCCCTGGAAAAATGAGACATTGTTTATACCGTGTGGTAGGAAATAGTTGGACACCTTAAACTAACACTGTGAAAAAAAACCGCCGAAAATTAAAAAAAAAATTGTAAACTCGAGTTATAATTCATGTTGTAAATTTACGAGAGCACATTTTTTACTCGCCAACGAATTTTAAGACGATACGTACTGCATTTATTTTTACGATTACAAATTTTAATTTCAGGACTTGCGTCAAGGAAAATTTTCCTGTAAACCTCTCTACTGTTTTTCACAGTGAAAACGCGCGAGTTTAAACGCGTGTTTCGGAACGCACGCAGTTTAATCTGTGCGTTATTCTGAACTCACGTAGTACGTCACCGGCCACTACGCTGCGGATCAGGCAGGTGACCCACACTGAAACCCGCCGCTCGACACGGCGCGCGCAGTGATCTCGAACTACGCGTGTTTTGGAAGGAGTAAACAACTGCCAGTAATGAAACGCGCGTATGAACTGCGGGCGTTTCGAAACGCGCCTTTGAACTGCGTGCGTTTTATAGTCTAAGGTATTTTAAATGGGCGCTGCGTAGTTTCACCAGGTGCTGACACTTTTTGGCTGAGCGATAGCGAAGCCTATTACTCCAGTGATGCTCAAAAAGTTTCGTGTCTGTCTGTCTGTGTGTTTGTCTGTAATCACGATAACTCGAGAACGGTTTGAGTTAGGTACCTGAAATTTCAAGTGTAGCTTTGCATCATAAAAAAGCAAGAACTGTATTGATTTTGAGCCATCTAGCTTAAAAATTGACTTGTCAAAAAAATCAAAAACGAAAACCCAAAATAACATACTGTTAAAAAATATATTTTTTTTACATCTTTCTAAGACGTACCAATTTAAAAATGAATCGAGTGCGTTGCGAGTGCGCTGCGAGGGCGAGGTAAGGGCGAGGCGAGAGCGTGGCGAGTGCGCGGACGAGTGCAACGCGGGTGCGACGGCAGTGCGATGCGAGTGCGCAGGCGAGTGCAAAGCGAGTGCGATGTGAGGGTGCGGGGCGAGTGCAGCCCGAGTGCAGCCCGAGTGCAATGCAAGTGGAGTGCGAGTGCTCTACAAGTGCGCCTATGTCACGGGGTGGGAGGGGGGAGAGGGACGGCGCCGTAGGAGCAGGACGAGCATGAAGGTAAGGGTATCACCCGTCGACCCGTCGCCCTTTCGTTGTCTCTTCCTCACGGTACACAAAGTTTCTTTTAGTGATCGCACTGCGTCAGCAGGTGGTCGAACCAAATGTATTTCTCTTAGTTTTAGGCCTGCGGAACTCGA